CACCATTATGTAATGGCCTTCTTTGTCTCTTCTGATCTTTAGTGGTTTAAAGTCTGTTTTATCAGAGATTAGGATTGCAACCCCCTCTTTTTGTTTTCCATTTGCTTGGTAGATCTTCCTCCATCCCTTTATTTTGAGCCTATGTGTGTCTCTGCACGTGAGATGGGTCTCCTATATAAAGCACACTGATGGGTCTTGAATCTTTATCCAATTTGCCAGTCTGTGTCTTTTAATTGGAGCATTTAGCCCATTTACATTTAAGGTTAACATTGTTATGTGTGAGTCTGATCCTGTCATTATGATGTTAGCTGGTTATTTTTCTCATTAGTTGCTGCAGTTTCTTCCTAGCATCAATGGCCTCTATAATTTGGCATATTTTTGCAGTGGCTGGTACTGGTTGTTGAGTGCTTCCTTCAGGAGCTCTTGTGAGACAGACCTGGTGGTGACAAAATCTCTCAGCATTTGCTTGTCTGTAAAGGATTTTATTTCTCCTTCACTTATGAAGCCTAGTTTGGCTGGATATGAAATTCTGGGTTGAAAATTCTTTTCTTTAAGAATGTTGAATATTGGCCCCCACTCTCTCTGGCTTATAGAGTTTCTGCCGAGAGATCCACTATTATCTGATGGGCTTCCCTTTGTGGGTAATCCGACCTTTCTCTCTGGCTGCCCTTTACATTTTTTCCTTCATTTCAACTTTGGTGAATCTGACAATTATGTGTCTTGTAGTTGCTCTTCTCGAGGAGTATCTTTGTGGCGCTCTCTGTATTTCCTGAATTTGAATGTTGGCCTGCCTTGCTAGGTTAGGGAAGTTCTCCTGGATAATATCCTAAAGAGTGTTTTCCAACTCGGTTCCATTCTCCCCGTCACTTTCAGGTAGACCAATCAGATGTAGATTTGATCTTTTCACATAGTTCCATATTTCTTGGAGGCTTTGCTTGTTTCTTTTTACTCTTTTTTCTCTAAACTTCTCTTCTTGCTTCAATTCATTCATTTGATCTTCAATCACCAATACCCTTTCTTCCAGTTGATTGAATCGGCTACTGAATCTTGTGCATGCATCACGTAGTTCTCATGCCATGGTTTTCAGCTCCATCAGGTCATTTAAGGTCTTTTTTACACTCTTTGTTCTAGTTAGCCATTTGTCTATTCTTTTTTCAACGTTTTTGGCTTTTTTGCGATGGGTTCGAACTTCCTCCTTTAGCTCAGAGAATTTTGATCATCTGAAGTCTTCTTCTCTCGATGCAGCTTTGTTCCGTTGCTGGCGAGGAACTGCGTTCCTTTGGAGGGGGAGAGGTGCTCTGATTTTTAGAATTTCCAGCTTTTCTGCTCTGTTTTTTCCCTATCTTTGTGGTTACATCTACCTTTGGTCTTTGATGATGGTGACGTACAGATGGGGTTTTGGTTAGGATGTCCTTTCTGTTTGTTAATTTTCCTTCTAACAGTCAGGACCCTCAGCTGCAGGTCTGTTGGAGTTTGCTGGATGTCCACTCCAGACCCTGTTTGCCTGGGTGTCAGCAGCAGGGGCTGCAGAACAGCGAGTACTGCTGAACAGCAACTGTTGCTGCCTGATCGTTCCTCTGGAAGCTTTGTCTCAGGGGGGTACCCACCCGTGTGGGGTGTCAGTCTGCCCCTACTGGGGGGTACCTCCCAGTTAGGCTACTCGGGTTTCAGGGACCCACTTGAGGAGGCAGTCTGTCCGTTCTCAGATCTCAAACTCCAAGCTGGGAGAACCACTACCCTCTTCAAAGCTGTCAGACAGGGACATTTAAGTCTGCAGAGATTTCTGCTGCCTTTTGTTTGGCTATTCCCTGCCCCCAGAGGTGGAGTCTACAGAGGCAGGCAGGCCTCCTTGAGCTGTAGTGGGCTCCACCCAGTTCGAGCTTCCTGGCTGCTTTGTTTACCTACTCAAGCCTCAGCAATCACGAGCGCCCCTCCCCCAGCCTGGCTGCCACCTTGCAGTTCAATCTCAGACTGCTGTGCTAGTAGGGAGTGAGGCTCCGTGGGCATGGGACCCTCCCAGCCAGGTGTGGCATATAATCTCCTGGTGGCCGTTTGCTAAGACCGTTGGAAAAGTGCAGTATTATTAGGGCAGGAGTGACCCGATTTTCCAGGTGCCATCTTTCACAGCTTCCCTTGGCTAGGAAAGGGAATCCCCTGACCCCTTGCACTTCCCGAGTGAGGCAATGCCTTGCCCTGCTTCAGCCCATGCTCGGTAGGCTGCATTCACTGTCCTGCACCCACTATCTGACAAGCCCTAGTGAGATGAACCCAGTACCTCAGTTGGAAATGCAGAAATCGCCCCTCTTCTGCGTCACTCACGCTGGGAGCTGTAGACTGGATCTGTTCCTATTTGGCCACCATGCCCGGCTAATTTTATAATTTTAGTAGACATGTGGTTTCACCATGTTGGCCAGGCTGGTCTTAAGCTGACCTCAAGTGATCCGCCCGCCTCAGCCTCCCAAAGTGTTGGAATTACAGGCGTGAGCCACCACGCCCCGTCTTGTGTGGGTCTGTTTCTGAGTTCTCTGTTCTCTTCAGTTGATCTCTATGCCTATCCCTCTGTCTATACCATATAGTCTTGATTACTATAGCTATATAATACATCTTGAAATAAGGTAAATTATTTCCTCTTACTTTATTCTGGTTTTTCAAAATCATCTTAGCTATACTGGTTCCTTTGTCTTCCCATATAAATTTTAGAATTATCTTGTATATATTTGCCCCCCCACCCAAAGAAAACTTACTAAGTTTTACATAGGGATTATATTAAAGCTGTATATCAATATTGGGATATCTTTACTATGCTGTCTTCCAATCCATGAACATGATATGTTTCTCCATTTATTTAGACCTTGTTTTATTTTTATTTAATTTATTTATTTATTGAGACAGGATCTCCTTCAGGCACCCAGGCTTGAGTGCAGTGGCACAATTACGGCTCACTGCAGCCTCAACCTTCTGGGATCCCACCTCAGCCTTCCAAGTAGCTGGGAATACAGGCATGGACCACCACACCTGGCTAATTTTTAAATTTTTTGTAGAGACAGGGTTTCACCATATTGCCCAGGCTGGTCTTGAACTCCTAAGCTCAAGCAACGCACCTGCCTTGGCCTCCCAAAGTGCAGGGATTACAGGCAGGAGCCACTGTGCCGGGCCCAGATCTTGATTTTTTTTTAAATCAGCATTTTCTAGTTTTCACTATGCAACTCCTATACATGTTTTGTTAGATATTTTCACTGGGTCTAGCATTCTAGATTGACAGTTCTTTACTTTCATCACATAAAAAATAATGTGCCACTTCCTATTATCTTTCTCCTAGCTAGCATGGTTTCTGATGAAACATGTGCTGACATAGTTTGAGTACCCCTTAACTGAAATGCTTGGGACCAGAAGTGTTTCCAGTTTCAGATTCTTTTAGATTTTGGAATATTTGCATATACAGAATGATGTATCTTGGGGGTGGGACTCAAGTCTAAACATGAAATTCATTTATGTTGCAGATACACCTTATACACATAGCCTGAAGTTAACTTTATTTTTCCCTTGGGGATGTTGAATAAACTGTGTTTGACATGCCTGCATTTTGACTGCAACCTGTCACATGACAACAGGTGTGTTACTTTCCATCTGTGGCATCATGTTAGTACTTAAGAAGTTTCAGAATTTAGGCTGGACATAGTGACTCATGCCTGTAATTCCAGCACTTTGGGAGGCCAAGGCGGATGGATCACCTGGGGTCAGGAGTTCGAGACCAGCCTGCCCAACATGGTGAAATCCCGTCTCTACCAAAAATACAAAAAAAAAAAAAAAATTAGCCGGGTGTGGTGGTGGGCACCTATAATCCCAGCTACTTGGAAGGCTGAGGCAGGAGAATCGCTTGAACTGGGGAGGCAGAGGTTGCAGTGAGCCAAGATCACACCACTGCACTCCAGCCTGGGTGACAGAGCAAGACTCCATCTCAAAAAAAAAAAAAAAGTTTCGGATTTTAGAGCATTTCAGATTTTGAATTTTCTTATTTTTATTTTTTGAAACCGGGTCTTTCTCTTACCCAACCTGGAGTGCAGTGGTGCGATCATAGCTCACTGTAACCTCAAACTCCTGGGCCAAAGCGATGCCTCCCTCAGCCTGTGGCTGAGACTACAGCACCATGCCTGACTAAATTTTAAATTTTTTGTAGAGATAGAGTCTCACTATGTTGTCCAGGCTTGTCTTGAACTTCTGGCCTCAAGTAATCCCTTCACCTCTGCCTCCCAAAGCACTGGAATTACAGGCATGAACCACTACACGCTGCCCAGATTTTGGATATTCTAATTAGGTATGCCCTGTACGCTAATTTTTTTTCCCCTATAGGTAAGGTGTGGCTTTTCTCTGACTGCTTTTCAGACTTTTCCCTTGTATTTAGTTTTCGGAAGTTTGATTATGATGTGTCTTAACATGAATTTCTTTCTGCTTATCTTGTTTGGGGTATGCTCAGCTTCTTGAATTCATAGGCTTATGTCTCTTGGAAATTTGGGAAGTTTCCAGCCATTATTTATTTGAGTACTTTTTCAGTCCCACCCTCTTTCTCTCCCTCTAATACTCCAATAACATGAATCTTTTGTTATAGGCCAGGCTTGCTGGCTCATACCTGTAATCCCAGCACTTTGAGAGGCCAAGGGAGTTTCAGAGCAGCATAGCAACATAGCAAGAACTCATCTCTTAAAAAAAAAGGACTAAAAATAATAATTCTAAAATGTCAGCCACCTTAGTAGGACATTTTTGTATAATGTCATAAGACTCTAGATCTTACTTGTAATCTTCTGTTTTACCTAGCTTTTATTGGCATTGCTCTGCCAGCGGAAGTAGGGATACCACCTCATCATGCCTGGTGGAAGTAGAAGTCCAGGCTTCCCAGTTGGCTTCCTATGACACCCAAAGGCGGGGAGCTGCTTGACTCTATTTTGAGGAAAAACAGTGTACATAGTTGATCAAACGTGAATTACTGTTGATTTTCATGATAGAATAGCCGCTTAAAAGAAGAACAGATTTGGCACATACGGCATCTACTAAAGGAACTGAGTGAAGAGAAGGCAGAGGGATTGCCAGTTGTAACAAGAGAGGATGTTGAAGAAGCAATGAAGGAAAAATGGAAGTTTGAAAGAGACCAGGAAAAAAACTTGAGAGGTGATTTAGGAACATAGAAAACTATCATAGAGTTGTGCCAAGCTATTTCTTGAATATATTAATGCTTTATTCTTCCAATATGTTCAAAGTGCTGTGAGTGTATTTTAAATGGCATCATTACCACCACAACCACAAACACATGTAGGTAAATGGGCAGGAGAGGGAAATAATAAAGTGAGTAGAGGTAATGAAGCCAAACAAGGAGGTGGAAGAAGGGTAGTGATCAAAAACAGATAAAATTTATCTGACTGTTTTTTGAGATAGGGTATAGTTCAGTCACCCAGGGCTGGAGTGCAGTGGTGCAATCTCAGCTTACTGCAATCTTAACCTCCCGGGCTCATGCAGTCCTCCCACCTCAGCCTCCCAAGTAGCTGGGACTCCAGGTGCACACCACCATGCCTGGGAATTTTGTTCCTTTTTTGTAGAGATGAGGTCTTGCTATGTTGCCCAGGCTGGTCTTGAACTCCTGGGCTCAAGGGATAGTCCCACCTCAGTCTCCCAAAGTTCTGGGATTACAGGCATGAGCCACCACGCCCGGCCTCATCTGACTCTTACAACAGGACAGTATCCTGTTAAACACCGTTACTCATAGTAGGGTTTTGTTCTTTTTCTTTTTCTTTTTTAATTCTGTTGTTTGGTGGTTTCATTGGCTTCAGCTTCAGTTTAGATTTGGGAATGATAAGGCGAATATAACCATGAAAAGTGTTTCCCCCAATATCTCTAAGGGAGCCAAGCACCCCATTAGGGGGAAATAGGGATTAGAGTTGGGAAAGGGGAAGTTTGGAGAACATGGGTAGTAATGACACTAGGTGCAGGCAATGAAAGACCCAGGGCATACTCTTGTTGTAGGCTTAGGAAATACTATGGTACTGAGGGTAAATCATGCAGTTCTGACATACTTATTTTGAAATTCCTATTCCTTCATTCTAAACTTGCTGCTAAGATTTCTAGGACCACTTTTTCCAAAACCTCCATAAATAACATCCCTGCTAGGAAGCTGGAAAACACGAGAAAGAGACCTAAGTGCTATCATTTGTTAGCCCTTAGGAAATCCACTTATTTCTGGATTTCTCCAAGTGCCTACTTAGCTGAGCACTTTGCACAAAGCAGACCCTCCACTCAATAGATATTTGTTGTTTTGAGTGAAATCATTTCCAAGACCAAACATCAATAGGCAAGTTTCATTTTTAGGGGAGTCCAAAACTGTTCCCATAGACCTCCTCCTACCCAAGTCTCTTCACTGGCAATAGGGATGTCATGACATGGTAGATAGTATATTTTGCACGACTTCTTTCCAAGAGAGTTCTGCTTATGTTTGGAAGGAATACTTTAATAAGTGCCTTGAGATGGGAGTGAGACCCCAAAGGATGCTCAGGTATACTCGCTAAACTGCCTTCTAAAGGAATGGGCCCAGTTAGTTGAGATGTGCCTGTTTATGGTTTGGGCTGAGCATGGGGATGTGTCATACAAGACTGGGCCACACTGCATGGCTAAGCACAGTAGAGGAGGACTGGACATGTATGGGAAGAAAGGAAGCTCACAGACATGCAGGAAGAAAGGGAAAGTAAGAGAACAGAAGTGTCTGGAAAACATTTCCAAGGTAGTCACTTTATGTCCCAGGTAGTCCCTTGCAACTCATTTTGGTGTGGAGCAGCAGCAGGTGCTTCACCTGTCAGCTTGTTAGAATGCCAATTCCCAGGCCCCACCCAGCCCTACTGAATCAGAATCTGCATTCTGACAAGATCCTGGGGGATTCCCATGCACAGTAAGGTTTGAAAACTACTGCTGCAACCCTTTTCATCCAACTTTTAGTAAGGACTCTTTTAGCTGCAAGGATAAAAAATCTAACTCAAACTAGCCTAAGCATAAAGGGGATGTCAGTCTTTTCACATCACTTCACACAGAAAGACAGAGTGCTTCTCACCTAGATGCAAGGCCTCATATGCTGTCAGATCTCAGCTTAAACAAACAAAAATCTCTGGGGCATGTGTGTTACTAGAAGGGAAGGGAAAAGGTTCTAAGAAAGTAGAAAAACAGCCACTACATCCATCTCCCTTTTACAATCTTCAGTGACATCTACCAACCCTCCCCTCAAAGGCCAAATGGGGCACAGGCCTGAGACAGTAGCAGTCTGCTCGAATGAGAGCAACTGCCCATCTAGGTTATAGTAGTATTAATAATTGTTTAATGAAAATAACAAGCACCATTTGTTAAGAGATTTTAAATATAGTATCTTGTGGCCAGGCCCGGTGGCTCACGCCTGTAATCCCAGCACTTTGGGAAGTCAAGGCGGGCAGATTGTCTGAGGTCAGGAGTTCGAGACCAGCCTGGCCAACATAGTGAAACCCTGTCTCTACTAAAAATACAAAAATTAGCTGGGCGTGTTGGTGGGTGCCTGTGATCTCAGCTACTTGGGAGGCTGGGCAGGAGAATCACTTGAACCTGGGAGGCGGAGGTTGCAGTGAGCTGAGATCATGCCACTGCGCTCCAGTCTGGGCAACAGAGTGAAACTACATCCCAAAAAAAAAAAAAAAAATTAGTATCTCGTGTACATCTTTGGAAAAAGATGAGTCCTGAGTCCTTCTGGACCTCTGAACTGAAGAATATCACCCTGGCCTGATTGAAACGCTTCAGTCATTCAACAGACATTTATTGAGCACCAACTAATTGCCAGGCTCTGTGCTAAGTGCTGGATTTACAGAGATGAATATAATGTAGTCTTGCCTTCAAAGAACTCTCAAACAAGGTGATATATGGTGATGAGACAAACAGCCATTAAGTTCATTGTACTTGACTCTTTTGTAATGCTTCTTTTTCAAAAATATTCAGCAACATGATATTTGGCCTAAAGATTGAATAGAATATCATGTTTAGCAAACAAAGTTTATATCCTTGAAATAGTTCAATATTTGTATATTTAACTTGGGAACTTACCTATCACTCTGGTTTTACCAAAGAGGGGTGGGAGAAGACATGTTAGTATGACCATCAGAGGCTATTATTTCATACAAGAGAAATCCAAACAAATGAAGTTTAGATGACTGCATCAAACAGTTTACTTACAAAAATGGTTGCCAAGGACCTGGGAAGGACACAAGTTGAAATCACTTTTGCTCAGAGGGTATAATGGCCAAAAAAATGATATTTTACTAATAAAGAATACACATCATATGATACACTATACAAAATAGGACCTTTATTAAGCTATATCACAGGAATGATGTAAACTTGCAGCTTCCTATGCATATGGGTTGTCTATTATGTATTTCAATCAACCATCAAACTACACATCTACTTTATAATCAGAAGTTTAATTTTACTTAGATTTTGAATCAGGATAGATAACAATAGTTTGAATAGTTTAGAATTCCATAAATTTTAGACATCAAATAGTACTTATGAGTTAACAGTATTTTAATATCAGATCTTAACTTCTTAAAACCAGATTGCAACATATAATGGTTACAAGGAAAATAGAAATGACACAGTGTCTTTTTTTCAACAGATATGCGCATGCAAATAAGTAATGCTGAGAAACTATTTCTTGAGAAACTCAGTGAAAAGGAATATTGGGAGGAGTACAAGAATGTAGGGAGTGAACGACATGCTAAACTCATTACCTCCTTACAAAATGACATCAACACAGTTAAAGAGAATGCAGAGAAAATGTCAGGTCAGTTGCAACAAAACTAGTTCTAGTTCAATAAAAAATATCTTTAGTAGGGCATACATTGGTGGAAGAAAAAAGTGTGTACTCCCTGAATCATTCATTACTCTGCTGTCAGCACAAGCAGCTGTGAGCCTAAGGGTAAAGGTGGAGGGAGGAAGCAGAAGAATGATCCCAGGACCACCTGTGAAACTGAGAAGGGGAAATAAAGAAATGGGCGGGTGGGGCGTGGTGTGGAGAAGCCCTGTGACCAACTGACTTTAAGAAAGAAGTTTCTGGCTGGATGCGGTGGCTCATGCCTGTAATCTCAACACTTTGGGAGCCTGAGGCTGGAGGATCGCTTGAGCCCAGAAGTTTGAGACCAGCCTGGGCAACATAATGAGACCATATCTCTACAAAAAAATTAAAAAATCAGTTGGGCATGGTGGCTCATGCCTGTAGCCCCAGTTACTTGAGAGGCTGAGATGGGAGGATCAGTTGAGCCCCAGAGTCAAGGCTGCAGGGAGCCGTGATTGTGCCACTGCACTCCAGCCTGGGTGACAGAGCAGACCTTTTCTCAAAAAAAGAAGAAAGAAGCTTCATTCAATGGATGGGGTCTGTATGTTTCCACACTGGGGGCAGGAGCAATTCCACTAAGATAGAAGTGTCCTGAGGCCAGGTTATATTAGAAAGAGAATTCACGTGGGGCAAGCTAATTCAGCTTAGCCACGCTGGATAGCCAGAATCATCATGGAGAAATGTCAAAGTCAATTAAGTTGTAACCAGGGAAAAACTGGGGAACAAACATGAGATGAGAAGTGGAAAGGCTATAGAGTAGGATGCCATCAGGAGCAATGAAGCTTACCAGGACTGGATATGGACACGATGAGGGCCAGCTGTCTGCTACTGAGGCAAGCATAGTGGCTTCAAAGAACACCAGAGACCCAGACACAGAAAAGTCATAGGACAGAATTAATGGGGGAAATCTGACCCAAAAGAGTTGCTCTGGGTGGATGACAGTCCAGGACCCAGCTGGAAATAGTGCCCTGCATTGTGGAGGGGTTCCTGTGGGTGGTTCCCATGTTCCCCTGTCAGGGCTTTCAGCTTGTGGACCAATTTGTATGTAAGTTTCTCAGCTTAGGGCCTCTGCACCACAGTGGTCATGTAAACTTGGCCCCATATCAGTCTGGGCTTGGAGTTCCAATTTGTCAAAAGGTTCTTCTTCTGAAAAGAGAATGAGAGTGCCAGCCTGCTACTCCCTCTGTCCCCACTCAAATCCTCTCCCACTATTGCCAGTGTCTTATGTAGCAGTCAGAAATATTCTATGCATATATATATATATCTCAGAAATAGCATGCTATATATATGATGGCTCACTTGCTTTTCACATAACAATAAGAACATCCTTCTAAATCAGTATATCTTAATACTGCCTCATTCTTCCAGTGGTTGCATTGTTTTATCATACCCTTTTTTTTTTTCCGAGACAGGGTCTCACTCTGTCACTCAAGCTGAAGTGCAGTTGCGTGAACACAGCTCACTGCAGCCTCAACTTCCCAGGCTCAAACGATCCTCCCAACTCAGCCTCCTGAGTAGCTGGGAGAGCAGGCATGTGCCACCATACCTAGCTAATTTTATTTATTTTTTGTAGAGGTCTCACTGTGTTTCCCAGGCTGGTAACCATAATTTTTTTGACCAGTTTCTTACACATAAGCATTAAGGTTGTTTCTAGTCTTTTACTATTACAAATAATGCTGCAATGACTATCCTTACACATATCTCGTTGTCCTGTGACAAATATTCTTGTATTTATGTCATTTCACTTATGTGTATCTCTGAAAGAAATGGTTGTGTGAAACAGACTGTTTATTTTACTGTGATAAATGTGGCCCTCCATAAAGGTTGTACCAAGTGGTACTTCTACATGTATGCATGAGGATACCTATTTTCCCACATCTTCAACAACAGGGGGTGGTATCCAAATTTTTGTTCTTTGTCAGTCTTATGGATAGAAAATGGTATTTCATTGTGGTTTTAATTTCCATTTCTTTTATTAAAAGTGACACTGAATGTGTCTTTTCATAACTTCAAGAGCCATATGAATTTCCTTTTCCATGAACCATTTGTTCACATCCGTCACCCATTTTTCTATTGTGTTTTGGCACTCTTTACATTTTAAAGAAATTAGCTGTTTAACTGTGATATAAATTGCAAATATTTTTCCCATTTGTCATTAGTTTTTTTGTTTGTGGGTTTTTTAATGAAGAAATGTTGTGCTTTTAAAGTGCCCAACTTATCAGTCTTTGATTTTATGTTTATGAGATTACGAATGAATTCTCCAATATTTTATTCTACAATTTTTATGGTTTTGTTTTCACATTTAAGTCATTGTTTTTGTGTGAGAGCGCAATCTAACTTTATTTTTTTACCAAATGGTTTTCCAGGTGTTCCAACATCATATATCATCAATTTTTATCCTACTGATTTGAAGTGCTAACTTTATTACACTTTAATTCCTCATGTATATCTGAATCTTTTTCTCTACTCTCTATTCTGATTCACTGATCTGCCTATGCATTTGTTAAACAGTAGAATACTTTTTAAAAGTTATTGTTCTGGTAGTTTCCAAATTTTTAAATATTTTAGCCAGTATTTATTTTACATTTTTAAAGTAGGAAAAGTGATCTTCTCATATAAACTTAACCCATTATCTTGATCAGAAGTTTGGATGATTGGGCCAGGCGTGGTGTCTCACGCCTGTAATCACAGCATTTTGGGGAGTCCACGGTGGGTGGGTCACCTGAGCTCAGGGGTTCGAGACAAGCCTGGGCAACAGAGTGAAACTCCATCTCTACCAAAAATACAAAAGTTAGCTGGGTGTGGTGCCCCACATCTGCAGTTCCAGTTACTTGGGAGGCTTAGGTGGGAGGATCACCTGAGCCTAGTAGGCAGAGGTTGCAGTGAGCCAAGATTGCACCACTGCACTCCAGTCTGGGAGACAAAGACCTTGTCTTAAATTAATGAATTAATTATTAACTAGGATGATTTCTTTGACTTTAAATTTTCATGTAGTTGTATTCAACTTTGGGGTGGTAAAAACATTTATATATTGAATTACTTGCTGGTCAAGCCATGGGGCGCAACCATAAGATAATGGTTGTTATGGGCTTGTATTATTTTCCATTAGTTTTAGGGACTTCTCTTAACCATCCAGGTAGCAGCAGCCACTCCACCAGGGGAACTATTAAAACATGTTGGGGACCACTAACTGGACACAATGAATATGAGCAAGACTCCTAAATCAATCTATCTGAAGACTTACTACCATCATCCCCTCTTTTTCTCCTACCTTCTACACAGGCTTCCTTCTTTCATGATTTTCCTGGAATTCTCCTCCAATGATTATGGGGTTTGTGTTAGTTAGACTGCTTTATATGCAAAGAACAGAGATAGACTCAGGCTATTGTTGGGCGCTGGGAGGTTGCTGTAAGTGAAACAGGATATTAAAACTTTTTGAAGTCTCAGTTTACAATGAGGTGGCAAAATGAGATGAGATACTGCCACATAGATTTGCAATTTGATGAAGAAGAAAACCAGTTTCACACCTTTGACCATCGAATTCCAGTCTACACAAGAAGTTAGAGAGGAAAAGGTTGTTAGAACTTAGGGGACAACTTTTGAAAAGAGCTCTTGGTGTGCTATCAGTCCTACTCTTTCCCCCACCGAGGAGTAGGTAAAAGGTAATTCATCCTCCATCTCAAATCTGGGTGAAAGGTCTTCAGAGAGATTTCTCAGATGGTTCAGTATGTGTCCCCTATAGTTTGGGCATTCAGGTCTAGTTTATGACTCATCCCTGAGAAATCTAGGGAATACATGGCTGAGGAGCTAACCGCACTGACAGCAGAACACAGAAGAGATGGCTGTTGCCCTGGGCTGGGCCTGCACTCCCGAGTTTGTCAGGGCAGAGAATGGAGGAGTGTTTCTTGTCAACTTGTTATGAGAGAGTATTGGGGAACAGTCATGTGGAATCTTGCCTGAGACAGCTGACTAGGGTGTTGGGGGCCGGTGATAGGTCCCCAACAGAAAAATAGGGATTTTGTTTGTGTGGGAGGGGAGTACAGAATTGAAAACCAGGGACCAACAGAAAAGTTGTTACCAACTTCTAAGGACAGTACTTGCCCTGGATCAAGGGAATGCAGATGAAACACCATTTGAAATGGGAAGCTTGTCCTCCAAAGAACCTACTAAAACACTCCCATGAGACAATGCATCGGCCTTAAATGCCATCTAGGTCCAGAAAGTGGACATGAGCTTGAGACAGTATCAGTCAAGTGAGAGCTTTCTTACCGTTTTCCATACTCCCCTCTTCCCTTCAGCACTGAGAGAGGAATCATGGAAGCTCAAGGCAGAGGAAATGGCAGCAGGCCCAAGTTAGGAAAGGGGATTGGCATAACTTTGAAAGAAGCTTAAATTGTTCCAATATTCTGGACATATTAATTACTTGTTGGAGGACCTTTTGTACCACAAAGAAACCAGAAGTGATAGGATTTACCATATATTTTATTGAGCAGAAGTCAATAGCCTCACAGTATGAGTTTTAAAGGAAAGAGACAAAAATTAAGTTGCTTGACTTCCCAAGAGTAATGCTTATTGGCTGTAACACAAATAGGAAAGGGAAGACTGAAGACAGAATAATGTCAGCGGTGGTTCTAGGCATGGCTCCTCCCCACATTTCTCTCCCCTGATCTGTGACTGTCCCTCTCACTGACAACACTGCTTTGCTCTGCATACGTGTCCCCCTTCTCTTCTACTTCCCACAGAACAGTTCTTGCAGTATTCTCCAGCCCAGTTCTAAAGACAGCTGGTGCCATCATCCACCTCATCAAAGATGACCAACAGTCTTTGTCAATGCCACCTCATGGGTCACCAGTCAGCCCTGGCACAAACTGTTCCTCAGTCACCTGCCTTATTCAGCAGCCTCCGCTGAAACCCAGGGGTGGGAGCAGAAAACACTTAGATCTGCTTCCCGAAACTTTAGCTAGAATGGGATATTGGGATACCAGTATAGAAAACAGTTACTAACATATCCAGGCCAAGGCTACTTCTCAATAAAAGGAAAAGGAACCTCAGATTAAGCCCAGGAATACAGAAGGTGAGAGGTTATTACAAGTCATTAGATAACTACAGTCACAGAGCATTTTTATTTTTGTCCTTTACTGGGGCACAGGACAGGGATTCTTAAGAGTTCTTTGTACACTAGCAGTGAATTTTTTAAAATTAGGTTCAAGACTCCTTACAAAAAAGTAACGTTGCTTCTTTGAATGTTACTTTTCTTGCCTATAAAATCAGAGTCCCTAGGTGATCGCCAAGAGGACTTATATTTCTAGCATCTGCTTATCCATGTCTTGTCTAATCCTTACAAGTTCCCTTGAGTTAGATATAATTAGGCCAGTTTAAAGATAAGAAAACAGAGGCCCAGAGAAGTTAACTGCCTTAACCAAACTCACAATGTTAGTAACAAATGGAACAGGGATTTGAACCAAGATGTGTTAGGCCCCAAATCCGTCTGCTTCAAATAGTCCCCTGAATCTGATTCAGTGAGTTGGGGCGGCTCTAAAGAGATTGCTACCTGGCCAGTGTTTCTGCTAGCTCCTGCTCAGTTTGCTCCAAAAGGGCCTGAGAAGAGGCCACTGCCACAGGAGAGGGTCACCACAATGGAGCTATGTGACCCCAGAAGTCAGAGAAGAGTAGATAACAAAGCTCTCAACAGGCCATGGAGGAGTAAACCAAAGCAGAGCCAGACACAGCAGGAAAGGCGGAACAGTGCAAAGCAAACTTTAGCCAGTGCAGTTTGGGGCCAGCTTCTGGGAAGGGACCCCATTAGATGGGATGTCTGAGAAGCAAGGAGTCTTCTGCACAGTCCTAATCTCCCAAGCTCCCACTTGCAGTGTCTGGAGCTTTTACAAGGAGACTTTTACATGCCCCCACTTTCTTTGGCTGCATTCACCAATAAATGATTGTTACCAGAAGCATCATCTGAATCACAAAGGGTAACAATGAGATTCTCACATTCACCCTTGTGCTGAGTACTGCGTTTTTAAGAAGAAAAACGGTCCATACAGTTTTATATGGAAGTTAGAAGAGAATCAAATATGAATATTGCTTTTTCAGTATTAATAAGGCAATAGAAAAAGCTACATCTTTAGTCAGAGTGTATTTGATAATCTATTTTTAAATTATTTATAGCAAAGAATTAATATTTCATGTTATCAAGCTCCAGGTTTTATGGTTTCTTTTAGATGCTAAGAATGTAAAATCCATTATGCTCCTGATCCATTGCAACTTTTAGATTGATTATTGTGTTTTGTAGGGTAGAAGTTCAAATAAATAACCAACATTAAGCCGATGGGCTGGGGTGAATTGAAAAAAGAAATTCCATCAGAAATGAGTTTGAAAGGATTAAACTATTCATGAGATTAGTTTAAATAAGTAAGAAAAATGCGGGCTGTATAAACGGGAATATGTAAGTTGGAATAATAAAGCCTTCCACTTCTTATTCTCTAGATGTCAAATTAAACTAACTCCAAAAACCTAATGAATTCTTGCTTATGAACTACTGCCTCACTCTAGTCCATCTCTGTTAGAGGCAGAAACTGCCCTCTCCTGACCACCTTTTCTGGCCGCCCCACAAGTTAGGAGAATGCTCCCTTTCTCTCTCTCTACTCCCTCTTCCCTTCCCCACCAAAGCTGCCAGAGAAGAGGAAGAGCCAATATTTGCTTTCTGGTGCTGAAGCCTCAGATCACTGCCCACCAAAGACTTGCAGTTTACCAAGTTTTATTTTCTTCAAAATATTTTTTGGCATGTATTGTGTCCCAGGGATACAGTAATGAAAAGATATGGAAGAGAAATGTTTACTTTCTGCTCTCAGCATTTTCATCTAATAGGAGAAACTGCTATGCTAGTACAAAGTATAGATGAGGGCTGAATAACTCTGGCCCAGCTCTCTGGCCAGAGTTCCGGTGGTAGATGCCTTAGTTGGGCTCCTGGTCAATTGAAAGACCAGACCTGCAGACGTCCTTCCCTACAGCATAAAATCCCTGAGGGTTCTGCTTTGGCTGACTTGGTCTGTGAAGAAAATTTTTCCTTTGAAACAATGCCCTAAGTCAGGGGTCCCCAATCCCCGAGGCCACAGACCAATATTAGTCTGTGGCCTGTTAGGAACCGGGCCACACAGCAGGAGGTGAACAGTGGACAAGCAAGTGAAGCTTCATCTGTATTTACAGCCGCTCTGCATCACTTGCATAACTGCCTGAGCTCCACCTCCTGTCAGATCAGCAGCAACATTAGATTCTTTTAGGAGCGCGAACCCTATTGTGAACTGCACATGTGAGGGATCTAGGTTGCATGCTCCTTAGGAGAATCTAATGTCTAATGATCTGTCACTGTCTCCCATCACCCCCAGATGGGACTATCTAGTTACAAGTAAACAAGCTCAGGGCTCCCACTGATTCTACATTATGGTGAGTTGTATAATTATTTCACTATATATTACAATGTAATAATAATAGAAATAAAGTGCACATGTAATGCACTTGAATCATCCCAAAACCATCCCCCTTTCCCACCCAGTCTGGGGAAAAATTGTCTTCCACGAAAACAGTTCCTCATGCAGAAAAGGTTGGGGACTGCTGTCCTAAATGGAAATAAGGTTCTATAGTACTGTTAGTACAATACTGTTGTTTAGCTGTAGAATAAGTTTAGTAAGCCTCTGAACCTGTCCAGAAATCTAGCAGCCATGATTTTCAACATCATTTGTATGGGAAAACACTTTCTGAATTCCAAATAATTGTCTGCCTATGTTATATAAATAAAGCACAACTAATGGGAACATATAACATGGAACTAATAAAACACAACTAACCTTGATTTTTCCTAGATTAACTCATTTGGAGTAGTACAGTTTCCTCATTTTTCACATTGCTGACTACCTAACTCAGTCCCTGATTACCTCCTCAAAAAAAGCTTTCTCTGATCACCCAATCTAAAATTGAGAATTTTAGTTTTTCTTCCTCACACACATCACCACCTGAAATATTATTTATTTACCTGTTTACTTATTTATGATCTGGCTTCCCCATTAGAATGTACATATCACAAGGACAGGGTTTTTTTCTGTCTTAACCAGTAATATTTGCAGTGTCTTACATACTGTTTGGCATACAGAAAGAACTTGATAGTTATTTGTTGAAAAAAGGAGTGAACAAATTGGACTCATCTGTCCAGCTTTCTTATTCTCCATTCTTTAAAGCAGCCTTGCTGTCACAGTGTCTCATAGTCCTTAAGAAGGAATATTGATTACATGATCTCCAAGCATCTTTCAAGGCCTAAAATTTTATGATTCTTTGTTCTCTCAATAATGACATTTGTGAGCATACGAAAATCTTGAGAGGACAGAGAATCCTGTGCTTCATTTTCTGTCTGTCTTTCTCACCTGAGCCTAACTTATGACCAGGTCTATCAACTTTCTCAGCACCCTTACTCCCTCCCTACTCTCCTCTCCTTGTTCTGTCTTTCCTGCCCCAGGAAACACATGCCAAGAATAGTCGAAATCTAGTTAGATGAAGTCAGACAGAATGCTACTCGAATAGATAATAAAGTCTTCATATTTCTGTTGTGGAGTAGTAAGTTGTGTGTATGAAGGGTAGACTGCCACACAAATGCTAAACTGTTTGAAATTCTGTCTTTGGAGAGACAGTCCTTTGAAAATACAAATGTTCTTGTGTAAGAGGTCTTAAACTAATTCACATTAACGTATTAGTAAATTCTTAGAGTCTATCTTCCAATTGGAGGAACTAGATTCTTCAGTAAAAATGTACCCTGAAAATTCAGAAAAAAAAATGTGTAGAAAGGAGAACTGAGGATGATGGAAAATAAAATTTACTGACATCATAGTTTTACCTAGAATCAGCCTTGATAAGGCTTTTAATTTTCTTTCTTTTTTTTTTTTTTTTTTTAAAAGAACACTATAAAATCACTTTGGAAGATGCTAGAAAGAAAATAACCAAAGAAACTTTGTTGCAACTGGACCAAAAGAAGGAATGGGCCACACAGGTATAATTCAATTTTCTTAAAAACAGAACAAAACAGACATTTTCCTACTATTTTTCCTTTGGGTATATTATAGTGGTTAAGAACTTTGGATAGATTCTCAGATTTGGGATGCTCAACCTGTAATAATGGCCGTAACACAATATTAAAATAAAAGTTTCGAATGATTTATAAAATGAAATATAATTTGTCTAAAAAATACTTTCTTTTATATCCAAACCTAGCAATGTGGATTCTGAAGGTAGACAGTTTGAGTTCAAATCACAGTTCTACACTTACTGGCTGTATAATGAATTTGTTACTTAGCTTTTCTGGGCTTCTGTTTCCTAACCTATAAGATGGAGAATAATACTAGTATTTACCTTAAAGAAATAGTGTGAGGATTAAATGAGATGATTTAAGTACTATAATCTCTCACAAGAAACAAGAGCTCAGTGAATTTTTTCTTTTTTCTTTCTTTCTTTTTTTTTCGAGGCAGGATCTTGCTCTATTGCCCAGGCTGGAGTGCAGTGACACAATCACAGCTCACTCCAGTCTTCACCTTTTGGGCTCAAGCAAACCTCTCGCATCAGCCTCCTGAGTTGCTGGGCCTACAGGTGTGTGCCACCACTCTTGGCTAATCAGTGAATTATTAATCAGTTATTTTTTTAAGTATAAGAAATATAGGTTGAATATCCCTTATCTGACACATGTTTCAGATTTTGAATTTCTTCAGATTCTGGAATATTTGTATTATACCAGTTGAGCATCTCAAATCCCCAAATCCAAAATCCAAAGAAGTCCGGGCTGGGTGCAGTGGCACTCTCCTGCAATCCCAGCACTTTGGGAGGCCAAGGCGGGTGGATTGCTTGAACTCAGGAGTTTGAGACCAAGCTTGGGCAACAGGGCAAAACCCTGTCTCAGCTAGTCCCAGCTCAGTAGTGCCAGCTACTTGGGGCACTGAGGTGGGAGGACTGCTTGAGCCCAGGAGGTCAAGGCTGCAGTGAGCCGTATCTGCACCACTGCACTCCAGCATGGGCAACAAAGTGAGACCTTGTCTCAAACAAACAAACAAACAAAACTGAAAAAGTGAACTTCTCCACAATCTGAAATTTTTTGAGTGCCAACATGATGCTCAAAGGAAATGTTCATTGGAGCATCTTAGATTTCAGATTCTCAGATTTTGCATGCTCAACCTGTAATAATGGTTGTAACAAAATATTAAAATAAAAGTTTTGAATGAATTATAAAATGAAATATAATTTGTCTAAAAAGTACTTTCTTATATATCTAAACCTAGAAGAGTATACTCTACATTGCTGGCACTTTAAAAATTTGGGACATAATATATTTTTGAGGCATAATTTTCAATCTTATATGTTCTCTAATTCCTTTGTTTTTACACAAAATACCTGAAAAAAAAATCTTTTTTTTAACAGTCTTGACCTCTTTTCAAACTATCCTCACCTCAGTGAGGTCCGACTGAGATTGTCTGTTCATCTGGGACATTCTTTTCTCAGAATCATAAACATCTGGTCTTTTTTCAAAAAGGTTCCTTACTGAATTTCAGTTGCTGTTATTTGTTGCATCCCTGTTGGTTTAGTTGTTCTTTTAGTCTTACTCTCTTATTGCATTATTTTTACTAATTTACACAAATACAGAAGGTTTTGGAAAACTGATCAGCAATCTGTTTGCTCATGCAATTCAGTCACTTTGTAAGCGAATCTGACTCACTCACATGGTGAAATCAACCATTAAGTAATCTGACCATAGTTAAGATGATTCAAGGTAGATATATAGGCCAAATAAGCATATAGCTTCAAGCATATATCATGAGGACTATTCTAAATATTCTTTCAAACATTTCACATTTAACTCCCTCAGCAATCCAGTAAACTATAGAGACTTGCTAATGAGGAGACTGGAGCAGAGAGAAGTTTTATGACTTGCCCAGAGCAAGTGGGAGAATCCAGATTCATTTCAGGAGGACTCCTTCAGATCACTGCTCCTAATCACTAACCTATACATTTTCTTTTCTCCACATAATGTCAAACACTCACGTGCTTGAATGAATTTTCCTCATTTTAGCTGGCTATTTTATCATACAGTTCAACATCCTATAATCACAATGCTGTGCAACCTCAGATGCACATTAGAGTCACCTGAGAAATTTTTTTTAACCCAGGTGATGCCTGTATCTCACCCATAGAGAAGGCTGATACATTGCACTGGGATGTTGTGTGGGCTTCTGGATTTTTCAGTGCTTCTAGGAGATTCAAATGTGTAACTAAGGTTGAAATCGCCGATCCACTGTTAGTGAATCCAGCCATTAGCCAATTAACTTCAGTTGGGAGTAGCTTCTTGCTTTTGTCCAAATGAAATTCTATGTTGGAGGAAACTAGAATTATTAGTTGTAGCTGGAGTATAAAAATTCCTGGTTCCTAAGAAATATAGGTCCACTGGTAATTTAAGCATGACTTAAAGAAAAATTTTTATGGCAAATCTTTCAACTCTTAAAGACTTTAATAGGGCTGTAATCCCAGCATTTGTGAGGTCAAGGCGGGTGGATCACTTGAGGCCAGGAGTTCAAGACCAGCCTGGCCAACATGGTAAAATCCCGTCTCTACTAAAAATACAAAACTTGGCCAGGCATGGTGGGAGGCGCCTGTAATCCCAGCTACTCAGGAGGCTGAAGCAGAAGAACCTCTTGAATCCAGGAGCAGAGGTTGCAGTGAGCCAAGATCACACCACCATACTCCAGCCTGGGTGACAGAGCAAGACTCCATCTCAAAAAAAAAAAAAAAAAGACTTTAACATAAATTTACCCTTAACACACTTTTCAATCATTTCTGTCCATGTTTATGATCTAGATTATTTTTCTTAATTTTTCTTCTTTTGGTTGTGCCCTTCAGTTACTAAATACTGAACTTGAACCATGGTATCCATATAAAAGCATCTTGCAGAGAAATATAGTTGGTTATTCACTATAAAATTCTTTTCAATATCCATGTAATTGAAAATAAATTTATATTTTATGAACCTACTGACAAAGTAAGACTTTTTTGCCTTCTTTGTCTAAAATGCCTTTCTTCAGGAGACTATCCAGCTATAGCCTATCCTGAAACTACTTGCTGTTAGATTTATAAATATGTATGTTGTTATTACTGACATGCAAAATCTTTTCAAATTAAAAAGATAGTAATCTCTTCATGTTTTTGCTATATGTTGGATTATGTCTGTGACTATAAACTTAAAGAATGTTTGATCACTGCAGTTTAACCATCTGAATTGTGAAACATGATTTCACCATAGCAGTCAGATTTGGTCACAATGGAGGTCAATTGAATGGTCAGTTACACATTGTCCAGTTCTCCAAATCACCTATAATAGAGAGTGTAAATCAGAAAAAGCAATATAATAGGATAGTAAAGAATGAACAACCAAACCAAAAGTTCTTAAGTATGTTCCTAAAGTAATTGCAGACACAATCTAAATGCAGGTTAACTGCACATCACTGTTGCTAAAATTATGAATCAGCATGTGGCAACTCTTCCTTAACCCGGAAACTTTCTTTTAGAATGCTGTAAAGCTCATTGACAAGGGCAGCTATCTAGAGATCTGGGAGAATGACTGGCTCAAAAAAGAGGTAAGTGGAATTCATCAAAAGCAATTTCTTCGTTCTCACTTTTTTTTTTTAACTAGAAATGACTTTTCATTATGAACTGAAGTCATGAGAAAAGCATGGTACCTTGACTGACTGAGACAAAATAAAATTCAAGTGGAGTCCTCATCTCACTACAAGCTGTTACTCAACAAATATCATAAATAATCTCAATAATAACCAAAAAAAAGTTGGGGTTTATAATTCACACAGTAAACTCAAATGTGCAAAGTTTCTTTATGTCCTAAAACTTGATTTGGTCTTCCTCATGAGCCTACTTCCTCCTGGGTGATGGGGCAAGTCTAAAGGACCATTCTAAGCTGATTCTCTGCTGGGTTAAATTGCCTCTTTTGGATGACATGGTCTCCTTTGGTCTGTACCACTGACATTTGAACCACATAATTCTTTGTTACGAGGTACTGTACTGTTTTCCCTAGATTGTACATGCCGGGATTTCCATATCTCCTTACCGTCATCTGTCTAGAAAACTCCAACTCATCCTCAGGCTTGGACTTTGATTACCAGTTTCCTTGTGAATCATTCTGTAATCCCTCCAGGAAATCTTGGGTGCTCCTTCCCCAGTGTTTCCTTGCTTTATTGTAACTCTTGCTAAAATATGTTGAAATTGTCTATTTATGCATCTGTCTCATTAATACACAGAGCAGGCTATAGCTTTTCAACTATATGTCCATGGCACCTGATAAATAATCTGTGCTCATTAGTTATTGAATCAATGAATGTCAATGAATATAGATATACTCATTGAAGGCATTAATCAAATAAACAGCTTAGATCATAGGTGAAGGAAGCAGCTAGGTTAAAACCTTTGTGAATTGTTTATTGTAGTTCAAGATGGTAGGCTGCATCCTACCTCTCCTGAGGGCCCACTGAAATAAAATTATAAAAATTATAAAAATACAAAAAGAACTCATCCACAAAGAGAACAAGAGGAGTTAACTAGCAGGTGAGATTTCAGAAATCTTCTGAAAGACAAAAAGCAAATGTGAGAGTATGTTGTTGGATGAAACGGGAAGCTATTACTTGGGCCAGATGTTACAAGAGAACTACAGAGGATGTGCAAAACTCAAATGTTTTTGGAAACCTGGGAGAGTCTCTGCTCAGAGTCTGTGTGAGCTATAGATGGTGGGAATGGGAACTGAAGCAGAAAACAAGAGGGTTACTTGATGGTCTGAATAGGGAACATCTGTATCAGTAAGCATCCACCATCACCCTCTACAATTTCCCTCACATACCACCAAAGTGTTTACTTTTGAACTAAGAACCCGATGACTGTCCTCTGAGAATACTAAACAAATTATCAGATAAAGGCAAAGGTTTCTAGTGTAGACATTAGATATTTCTGTGCCCCACAGAAAATCCTTCCTATGTTGGCATTTGGGAAGCCATAACCTAATATCCCTCTCCTGCCTTCTCATCCTTTGGGATTTGCCAGTTCACACCACCTGCCATACCACATACAGTCTCCAGTCCACATTCCCATTCAGAGGAAAAATTTGGTATGAAAACAGACCTGTTTACACAGTGGTGGGGAAAATCCATGCCATTCCCCAGACTTTTCTTTAATATAAATAGACATCCAAGGACCACCAGGCATTTGAATACATTTAGCACAACAGAAGAGAAAGACCAAGTGAATTAACAACAAAATAAAAAGTAAACAATAACAACAAAAACAGCCTGTGGAAGAAATAGAAAAAATTTAGGGAACTGTAAAGGTCTTTTATTAGTATAATCAAAAAAATCTGGCCAGACATAGTGGCTCACACCTCTAATCCCAGCACTTTGGGAGGCCAAGAAGGGCAGATCACTTGAGGCCAGGAGTTCAAGACCAGCCTGGCCAACATAGCAAAACCCCATCTCTACTAAAATTACAAAGGTTACCAGGGCAAGGTGGCGCATGCCACCTTGGGAGGCTACTTGGGAGGCTAAAGTATGAGCATCGCTTGAGCCCAGGAGGAAGAGGTTGCAGTGAGCCAACATCCCATCAGTGCACTCCAGCCTGGGCAACAGAGTGGAAAAACAAAACAAAACAAAAGCTGGCCAGGTGCAGTGGCTCACACCTATAATCCCAGCACTTTGGGAGACCAATGCAGGCAGATCACTTGAGTGCAGGAGTTTGAGACCAGCCTAGGCAACATGGTGAAACTCCATCTCAATATATATATATACTTTTTAAATCTGAGAAGGTATTTTATTTATAGAACAAGATGTTTTAAGAACAAAAATAAAATATAAAACAGGAAAAGACCAGGCGTGGTGGCCCACACATGTAATTCCAGCACTTTGGGAAGTCAGTGCAGAAAGATCGCTTTAGCCCAGAAGTTTGAGACCAGCCTGGGCAACATAGTGAAACCCCATCTATACAAAAACTAGAAAAGTTAACCAGGCATGGTGGTGAGCACCTGTAGTCCCAAATACCCCAGAGGCTGAGGTGAGAGGACTGCTTGAGCTCAGCAGGTCGAGGCTGCAGTCACCTGTGATTAAGCCACTGCACTACAGCCTGGGCAACACATTGAGACTCTGTCTCAAAAATAAAATAAAATAAAATAGGGAACAGAGAACAACTCTCAAAACAGGGAAGACCACAATACAAAAAAAAAAAAAAAAAAAGGAAGAAAAATAAGAGACATAGAGTACTAATGTAAGATGTACAATATCCAACTAATACATAGTAATTTCAGAAAGAAAGAATAAGAACCAGAGCAGTGGCTCACTCCTGTAATCCCAACACTTCGGGAAGCTGAGGTGGGAGGCTTGCTTGAGCCCAGGCATTCAAGACCAGACTAGGCAACAGAGCAAGATCCTGGCTCTACAAAAAATAAAAGAAAATTAGCCAGGCATGGTGGTGCATGCCTGTGGTCCCAGCTACTCAGCGGGGCTGAAGTGGGAGAATCACTTGAGTCCAGGAGGTCAAGGCTGCAGTGAGCTATGATCACACCATTGCACTCCTGCTTGGGTGATAGACTTTCTCAAAGAAAGAAAAAAGAAAGAAAAAAGAAAGAAAAAAGAGCAAATAGAGGGAAGGAAATCATCAATGAAATAATAGAAGAAAATATCAGGGTTCTGAAAAGGACATGAATTTTCAGAACACCAAGAACAAAAAGAAAATCCTAAAAGTTTCTGGCAGAAGCAGGTGGGGGTGGGGGTGAAGTTAACTACAAAGGAATAAGACCAAAACTGACATTTGATTTTTTCAATAGCAAAGTTCAGATGAAAAATTATTTTTAACTTGGAGTTCTATACTCAGCTAAACTAGATTAAGGACAAATAAAGCTATTTTCAGAAATGCAAGGGCTCACAATACTTCTCATGCTTTCTCAAGAATTTACTTAACCATGTATGTCAGCAAAACAAAGTAAACTGATGAAGAGAAAAACAGGAAACAGTATACTTCCCAGTATACCAGGGAAGAAGTGTCTGAGGATGATAATTATGTTGCAGGCCTAAAAAGCATGCCGTCCAAGTTGAAACTGATCTCAATCCCAGGCTCTAAACCCACATATTCAACAACCAGCTGTGCAACTCCACCTAAATGCACCACAGACATCTCAAACTCCTAAACTGACTGCATCTTCCCTTTTTCCCAGAACTGCCTCCTCTCCTACTCTATCTGCCCCACTTAAGGATCCCACCATTATTCAGTCACCCAAGCCAGAAACTTGTGAGTTAAGTCACCCCTTGTGTATACTTAGGAGATTTGTTCCAGGACCCCCACCCCCACCCTGCCACTTATACCAAAATCCAAGCACACTCAAATCTGGCAGTCAGCCCTGCAAAGCCCATGTTTATAGCATGGGTTATAGTATATAGCATGGGTTATAGTATATAGCATGGGTTATAGCGTGTTTATAGTATATACCTCTGTATAGGCAGGTTTTGCATCCCAGGAATACTGCATTTTTTATCTGTGTTTGGTTGAAAAAAACTGGCATGTTGGCCAGGTACAGTGGCTCACGCCTGTAATCCCAACACTTTGGGAGGCTGAGGCAGGTGGATCCTGGCCAACATGGTGAAACCCCATCTCCACTAAAAATACAAAAATTAGTCATACGTAGTGGTGAGCACCTATAATCCCAGCTACATAGGAGGCTGAGGCAGGAGAATCACTTGAACCCAGGCAGCAGAGGTTGCAGTGAGTTGAGATTGCACCACCGCACTCCAGCCTGGGTGGCAGAGCGAGACCCCATCTAAAACAAACAAACAAAAAATCTGCATGTGTTGTTCAAGCACTATTTTATTTTTATTTTATTTATTTATTTATTTTTGAGACAGAGTCTCACTCTGTTGCCCAGGCTGGAATGCAGTGGCATGATCTTGACCCACTGCAACCTCTGCCTCCCAGGTTCAAGTGATTCTTGTGCCTCAGCCTCCCAAGAAGCTGGGATTACAGGCACATGCCACCATGCTCCATCTAATTTTTCTTTTTTTTTTTTTTTTTTGTATTTTTAGTACAGACGGGGTTTCACCATGTTGGCCAAGCTGGTCTCGAAATCCTGACCTCAAGTGATCCACCAGCCTTGGCCTCCAAAAGTGCTGGTATTACAGGTGTAAGCCACCATCCCCGGCCAAAGAGCCAACTATTTTAGAAATGTTCTTTTCACTCACCACATTCAGAAGGCCTCCAAATCCCATCAGTTCTACTTTGACCACCTCTCCTTCTCTGCCATCGTCCTATTTCAGGCCTCATTATCTCTCACCCGGATCTTTCAATTGTGTCTTACCTGGTTTTCTTTCCTGCCTAGACTGGAATCTTCCCTTTCCTCCTTCACACTGCCTCAGAGTCCTCTTTCTAAAACATAAACCTGCCTGTAGTCCCAGCTACTTGGGAGGATGAGGCAGAAGGATTGCTTGAGCCCAGGAGGTGGAGGTTGTAGTGAGCCAAGATTGTGTCATTGCACTCCAGCCTGGGCAACACAGTGAGACTCTGTCTCAAAACATTAAATTAAATTTTTAAAAAATTTAGA